AAACACAGGAAACAAAAGCAAAAAATTGACAAATGAGATTGCGTTATTTGTCAATCATTTGTCTTGATAGTGGAAGAGTAATACATAGCCAAGACAGATACAGAAGGTCAAAGATTAGAAAAAATACAAGTGGAAGAATAAAATAATAGAATAGCTGGACATGAATTGCAAAAGATTTTGCTTATAAAATTGCCTATGATTAAAGTGGAATAAACTTTACAAATGATAGTGGAGTTGGAGCCCATACTTAATTCAGACAGTTTGTCAATTACACAGTGAAAAGTAGGCAAAAGAGGGAATCTTGAATGTTGTGAAAGTAAATCAAGATATTTTAAAATGTAGATTGTAGACTAATATATGCATTTAAGCTCAACAGCTATCATTTTGCTTGAGAAATATCTTTAATTTTTTTTTTTCTTTTTGCGATACTAGGGCTTGAACTCAGGGCCTTCACCTTGAGCCACTCCACCAGCCCTGTTTTTGCGAAGGGTTTCACAGAACTATTTGCTGGGGCTGGCTTTGAACCACAATCCTCCTGATCTCTGCCTTCTGAGTAGCTGAGATTACAGGTGTGAGTCACTGGCACTAAGCTCTTTAAATGTACTTTAAACTGATTCATAAAAACATAAAATTGAACAGATTAATGGGATAACGTGATATTTTGGTACACATACACGTTGAATTATGCTCAAATAAGGCTAAGTATATTTTCTCAAGTATTTGCCACTTATTTACGGTAAAAACTTTCAAAATCCTTTCTGCTAGCTTTTTGAAATGCACAGTACATTATTTTTTATCTATAGCCACCCTCCTGTGCAATAGCACTCCTAAATTTCTTACTCTTATTTGACTATAACTTAGTACCTTATGATCAAACTCTCCATGCCCCCCCAACCTCCTCTTCTCAGTCTCTGTTAACCACCATTCTATTCTCATTCTGTATCAGCAGCTTTTTTAGATTCCACATTCAAGAAATATCACATAGTACTTGTCTTTCTGTGCCTGGTTTATTTCATTTAGCATAATTATTTCCAGTTCCATCCAAGTTGTCAGAAATAACAGAAACTCATCTTTTCATGACTAGACACCATTCCACTGTATACATGGACCACATTTCCTTTACCCATCACCATTTAGTGAACATTTAGGTTGTTTCCATTTCTTAAATACTGTGAGCAGTGCTGCAATGAAGATAGGCACACAATGGCTGAGGGTGTGTCTCAACTGGTAGAGCACTTGCCTAACAAGCATGAGGACCTGAATTCAACTGCCATTATTGCCTCCCCCTCCAAAGTAAAAAAACGATGATGGCTGTACAAATGTCTCTTTGACATACTGGTTTCTTTTCCTTTGGATATATACCCAGTGGTGAGATTGCTGGATAGTATACTTGTTCTCTTTCTAACTTTTTGAGGAACCTTTATATGGTTTCCTACTATGGCTATAGTATCTTATATCCTCACCATGGTTTTTTTTTTAATGATAATAGCCATTCTTTCTGGGGTGGAATGAGATCTCACTGTGTTTTTGACTTGCATTTTAATTTATAAGAGAACTGCAATATTAAGATAACATTGACTTTATTCTGGAGTGTTGGGATTTTTAAATCCATGTCCTTTTAAATCTCAGATTTTGGTGTATGTGGGATGCATGAAAAATAAAGCATGAGGAATTTTTTTCTATATTTTGGAATAGGTAAATTTCACACAAGACATGCTTGAAGGAGTCACATTAGTGACAGATTTTAAATGCAGTGAAGAAACCTTGACTCCAAATTTACCCTTAATGAAAACCATTGCCAAGGGCCAAGCAGAAGACTATGAGAAAGGTGGTTTATAATTATCTTGAAATTACTAACGTAGGATTCATTTTATAAATTTTAGGAAACTAAATTTATTGGAAGAAACAGTGGGAACACAAGTTATATTAGTGATTTAATGTGTGATAACAAAAGATTGACTAAACAGGATTATGGATTTTAATCCTACAGGAATAAAGATTAACACCTTTATTCCTTTGGAATTATCTAGGATTGAAATTACAGTATTAGTTTATTTGGAGCCTATAGCAAAATCAGTTATCTGAAAAAATGGTATGAGTGGAAAATGACTCTTTGACAAAGCTGGCATTTACTAAACATATGTAGTAGAACACTAGTGTTGTGGTGTGACATTTGGCTTGGCTTTATATACAAAAAATGCACTTAAATTACTTAGGAATAAGTTCAGTCAATAAGGTAAGAGTTGTCAGGAGCCCATGGCTCAAGCATGTAATTCTATCTACTTGGGAAGCTGAAATCTCGAGATTGGAGCTCCAGGCCAGCCCAAGCAAAAAGTTTGTGAGACCCTACATCAACAGAGAAAAGCTGGGCATGGTGGCCTATGCCTGTCATCCAAGCAATGGCAGGGAGGCATAAAATAAGAGGATTGAATTCCAGACTGGCCTGGGCAAAAAGTAAAACCCTATCTCCAAAATAACTAGAGCAAAAAGGTCTGGAGCCATGGCTCAAGTGGTAGAGCCTTCCAAGCATAAAGCCCAAAGTTCAAACTCCAGTACCATCAAAAGAAAAAGAAAAAAAAAAGAATGGAAAGTAGTAAAACATTGGTAGAAGAAATAGAAGACATTAAAATGGATCCATGCTTATGGATCAGAAAAATTAATATTGTTAAATTGCCCATACACCCAAAACAATGCACCTATTCAGTACACTCCTATTAAAATAGCCAAAGCAATTCTGAGAAAGAAAAATAAAGCTGGAAGCATCACATTTCTGATTTTTAGATCAATTACAAAGCTATAGTAATCAAAATAGCATAGTACTGGCATAAACACACACATACACACATGCACACAGAACTATGGGGCAAAAATAGAGAACCCAGAAATAAATTCAAATATACATAATCACTAATTTTTGACAAGGACACCAAGAGGTCACAAAAGGGAAATGATAGTCTCTTCAACAAATCATGTTGAGAAACCAGATTTTCATAATGAAAGAGTAAAATTCGAACTTATCTGACACCATACAAAAACATAAACTCAAAATTAATTTAAAAAATAAACTAAATTTAACCTGAAACCACACATTGGCCTTGAGAAGGATTTTTTGGCTATCACACTAAAAGCTCAGGCTACAAAAGCAAAATATATAAACAACACTATCTCAAACTAAAAACCTGCACAGAAAAGGAAACAACCAACAAAATTTAATGGCAACCAGTTAATTGGAGAAAATACTTTCAAATCATATAAGAGTTAATCTCTAAAACTTGTAAAAGCCCATAAAACTCAACAGCAGATAAAACAAGTCAATTAAAAATGGGTTAAGAAACTAAGGAACATTTCTTAAGTAAACATACAAATGACCAACAATGCACAAAGGAATACTATTCAGTGCTTAAAAAGAACATGAATGCACAGGAAGGGCATTATGCTACATGAAATAATCCTGGCACAGAAAGGCAAATACCATAAAAATCTTAAAAAATAAAATAATACACAAAGATAGAGAATAAAACAGTAGCTCCCAGGGCTGATGGGAGAGCTTGAGGAGATATGGATTAAAGGATACACAGTAGCTGAAAGGCACTGTTTTTATTTTTGTCATGGCATTGTTATAGCTTTGTAAAGGAAATAAAGTGTGACTCAGGAACAGTTGAACTGCCATTTTTGAAAACTGTAGTACACAAAAATTACCAACCATGTCACTGGTGGGCCCCACGTGGTGGTTGAGAAAGAATACTTTCTTTATTTTCTGGTTTCAGAATGCACATTTATTTTTTGTTTTATTATGAATGTAATTTTTAAAAACTACTTTTAAAATGTGTTGATGAATCCCTGTTTATAACAGGTTTATTAGGGAAACCTAAATAACTACATTTGGTGGTAAAAGAGAAAAATGAGTATGTCTACCTTGCCCCTCACACATGACCATCCTGCTTCACACGTAGCAGTTCTACTTCTATTTGTTTGAAATATTGGCATTTTGGGCTTCTTTAAAAGATTTTATGTGAACTATTTCTGTGATTTAAACAAATAGACAAGAGTGGCCTAACTTAACATGAGTTTCCTAAAATGGTAACCTCACCTATCTACTCTCAGAGCAGTAGATAAAAAGAGAGTAGTAGAAGAGGGAGCACTTTCCAACTCATTGTAGAGATTGCTATTACCCTGATATCAAAACCAGACAAAAACAGGAGAAGAAAAGAAAACTACAAACCTACGTGTCTTATGAATATAGACAGAAAAATCCTTAACAAAATAATACAAGAGAAAAGGCATTTTGAAAATTCAATACCCTTGCATGATAAAAGCATGAAACAAACCGATGAGAGAAGGGAACTTCCTTATTCTGATAAAGGACATTTATGAAAAAAATCCATAACTAATATCATACTTAATGGTAAAATAGCGATAATTTTCTCTTATAATTAGGAAGAAGACAAAGATATCCTTTCTTACTACTTACATAATTCTGGAAGTTCTAGTCAAGATGACTAGACAATAAAATGAAATAAATGAGAGGCATGCATATTGGCGAGGAAGACATAAAGCCATCTCTATTTGTAGATGACATCATTTTGTATCTAGAAAATTCTAAGAAATACATTCAAACACACACACAAAGAGAACCAATAAATGAGTTCAAAAGTGTCAGGATATATTAACATATGCAAATAAACTGTATTTCAATATAATAGTTCTGAGTAATCTGAAGTTGAAATTAAGAAAAATGAGTTTATTTACAAAAGCAAAAAAAGTGAATTATATGAGTAAAAAAATGAACAAAAGTGCAAGTCTTCTCCACTATAACATCAAGGAAAGAAATTAATGTTAGATAAATGGAAAGCATTCCACGCTTGTAGACTGGAAGACAGCAAACTCTTGTAATATACTAAAAAAGTCACTGAATTGTACACTGAACAAGGGTGACAATTATGGTATATAAATTATATGAATAAGTATTTAAATGATGGCAAAAATGAATCAGTACTCACCTTCACTTTTACCTGTTGTTAATGAAGTAGGTGTTGGTGTCACAGGCGTTTTTGATAGTTCATTGTTGGTTGTTCCTAATTTGATATAATAGATGACATTATTACTAATTAAAATCTCATCTCACCTTTTAAGGAATAAATCAGTCAAATTTGGTAGTAAACTAGACTTCTTCTGCAGAGGTACTACATAAGCCTTTGTCTAACTTTTCAATTTTCCAGCTCCTTCTGTCTAAAGAGGAATTTTATGAATATAAATGCTTGGGTGGCTGATTTAACACACACACACACACACACACACACACACACACAGAGGCACACACAAATTTTTGTATGACAGATCTTAGTAAGTTTCCACTGTGGATTTTTACCTGGATATCATTAAGTATGCAAAATGCATTGCAAAAAAATCTAAATTCCAACAATTTAAAATAACTTCATTTTTTCCTGTTGAAAAACAAATGACCTGGTCTACAGATGCTAGGAATGTCATGATTTCTTTTTCAGAATTACATTTTGCTTTGTTAGTTTAGTTGTGTTAATGATAATTCTAAATAAACATAATTCATAAGTCAACTTGAAAACTTCTATTATCAATTTGTTCATTCACAAAACATTTCTTCAATCCTTGTTTTATTCTCCTTCCAGACTCTTGAGGGAAGCATTCAACTCATAATATCTTTTTAATCTGAGTAACAGCAAGAATAATTCCTGGCGATTAGTGAATGTTTCAAATTTCTGAGGACAATGAGGATCAACTAGGACAAGGATCTGCCTTAAGGAGCCAACACGATTCATCACTCTCTTCTTTTTGGGAGGGGGGTGGTGGTACTGGAGTTTGAACTCAGGACCTTGTGCTTGCCAGACAGGTGCTCTGTCTTTGAGCTATACCTCCAGTCCCCCCTTTTTTCTGGTTATATTTGAGATAAAGGTTCACTTTTTGCCCAGGCAAGCCTGAACTATGATCCTCTGGTTTACACTTTTGCAGTTGCTGGGATGACATGAACTTTTTTTTGCTCAGCCTGTCCTGGAATCCTGATCCTTCCAATTTTAATCTCCCAAGTAGCTTGGATTGCAGGTGCCAGCCATTTGCACCCGGAAAATCTTACTTCTTATATGTATGCATGCTATATTTGGGGGAAGAGCTATTTGGCTCTGAGCATTTCATCTAATGCTTTGAAACCCTAGGAGAGTTTTAAAGGTGAGTTGGCTGGCAGATATTAAGAAGACACACAAGAAAGGTAAAACCTGTGGAAGAGGGCTGAGGACAGACTTCAATGCAAGTAGGGAAAGCTTGTCTACTTGCTGCTTGTTGGGGAGCGTAGGGCACTATAGCAATGCAAAGAAGCTGTCATAGGCAGATTCTCCAAATTATATTGTAATGTGGAGAGAACCTAAGCATCCAGGATGTTCTAAAAGTCTTTTAGAATCTTAAATGGTTGTATTTTAAAGGAAGAAACCAACAAAGGAAGCCTTATTCCTAAAAGCTGGTTTGAGATTTTCATATTGCCCACTCACATGAGGCCAACACCTCAGGAGTAAGGAAGTAACCATAGAAGTGATGCATCCTGTCGTGTCCCCTTTATGCCTTTGCTTTCACTTCATCACTTCTCTTAGCATTCTTGGTACCAATAAAAAAAGAACCATTTTTTGGAGGGTGGGAGTGGGACTGAGGTTTGAACTCAGGCCTTCATGCTTGCAAAGTGGGTACTCTACCACTTGAGCCACACCTCCAGTCCATTTTGCTATAGTTATTTTGGAGATGGAATCCTGTGAACTATTTGCCCCAGCTCGTCTCAAACCACCATCCTCCCAATCTAGAATTACAGGCATGAGCCACTGTACCTGGCCTCAGGAAAAACAAATTTTTTAAAATCACATTCCTGTTATCCTTTGCTGGTATGTGTCTCACATGTTGCTTGGAAATTAGAAACATAATGTCAACTAGGACACATATAATGATAAAATGAATATAAATAAAGGGTCCAGTGTGTACAATTTCTGAGTTTTCAAAGCCCTTCCGCCATTTCTTTTATACCTATCCTGGTTTCACATTTGCTAAAGGAAGAGACAGAAAAAAGTTGAGCTTCAGACTCACTATTCAACTAGAATTACCCATTTGCCTTCTGTTTTAGCCATAGTCTTTGCAAAACCAAAAAACTGTACATTTCTTATGGTTCCTAAGCTTGTGTGCAAACAGGTTTTGTGATTTTGTTGCTAATCATTCTATATAACCAGTGTAACAATCTTTATACATAAACACAAGTTATTTTATCTTCCACATTCATTAAGGTACATTTGACAAGTAAATTTGTGTATGTTAAAAGTATACAGTGTGATCTTTGATAATGCATATGTTGTAACAATCAGGCTAATTAACATGTCCATCACTTCAGGTAGTTCATATGTCTTTGTGTATTGTGAGAATAATAACACTGTTTTAGACCTATTGCTAGTTTTTGAATACTCACTTTAAATTACTAGCAAGCATTGTTCATATATTGTAGAGAAATTCTCCTTATGTCCTGGATATGTTATAGTTCTGAAGCATAAATGCATATCAGTACTACAGTATCTCAGTAACTAATGGTAACTATTTCTATTAATTCTCTGTGCATCAATAATGATTTACTTTCAAGTGGTTGATCTGTGAAATGTACTGAAGCTAATGTAAACATTAAAAGGAATACTATAGCTATATATATTTAAGGATATTACATCATTTAAATAAAAAATGTTTAAATTGTCATTGGAATATTATAATTCTATTGTGTAAAACTTTTTAGTGAACTAGCATTTATATCATGTTCCAAAATAACATTCAAAAGCTGTGTTAGATTCCATTTGGACCACAAATGTTTCAAGAAAATGTCTAATTTGTAAATATTTCATATTTTGTGAGTAAAATGGTAACTTTACCACTTCAAAATTCTTTGAAAAGAAGAAACCAAAGAATCATATATAAAGATATCTCAGGTTGTTCATTTGCAATTCAGACTTGAGGACAGAAAGACAATGAATGGAAGGAGACAGTGGAGAAAGATGAGATACCCAGTTCCATTTAACATGAGAAAATTTACAAGAATGCTTTTTAAAAGTCTGTTCTATTTAGCTTTACCTATTTACTTTCTACATAGAGGACATACAACTCAAACATCACCATACCTAGGCCCTTATGTGAAATAGACGGCCAAAATATCTAGTTCTTGTACTGATTGTTAGGGTGAACCAAAAGAAGCTGCCTTTGGATTTGACTCCCCCATCCTTGCAGGCATCTTACTGACAACCCACCACCCACTGGAAGGACCACATCTAGCCTCAAGGAAATGACAAGCCACCACCTCACCAGGGGGTCTGAAGCTGAGCAAATTACCTAATTACCACTTATCTCCTCTAGCTTTCCCTAGGGATGGTTGACTCTAATCAGGAAGAATTTTCCCACCCAGTGGGGTTAGACCACTCCCCTATATCTATTCCAAGTCTCTAAGTGGCTAGGGGCTCCAGCTTTCTTGTTCTTTCACAAACAATAAACCCTATGCTGGTATTTGAGTCATCTCTCTGCCTCTTCCATGCCTCTTTCCTTTCTAACACTGACCTCAGTTGAAATTGAATCCCAATTTGGTACCAGAAAATTTATATCAGTGCTGAGAAATTTTTATTCCTTCAGTATAATTCCACTCATTAAAAATATTTGTTAAATGTTTTTGAAGCAAACTGAACAACAATCAACATTTTCAAAACAAAATGTCAGTCTATTTTTGTATCCTAGAAGTTTATTTTATGAGGGTGGTTTGCAGTATCTACCGAATGTTGATTTTTAACTTTGGTCTTTTGGCCTTTGCACAGAATGGGCAATGTACATGGAGGACGAGGTCACATCCCATCTCTCTAATGGGGTAACTCTGAAGGCAAGGTCTGCTCCAGGCAATGCTCCAGCAATCAGTTCTGCCACTGTGGCTAAGCTGCTGAAGGAAATTCTCATCTCACTCACATTTTTTTTTTTTAACTTTTCTGATGATAGAATTTCTGCCATTGGCAAGAGAAAGAACATTTATGTTCTTTAGATAGATATAAGCACTATTATACCAACTGTCTTTTGGCCTTTAAAAAAAGAAAATCCCATTGGAAAGCCTTGAATTAAAATGAAAATAAATAAGCTTCTGTGTGTTCTGTTTTATTTTTTAAAATTTTTATTGTCACTAAGAGGGCTGTGTTGGCCATGAGCAAGGAAAATAAGGACTTGTTTCACTATAGGTATGACTTTTTGTTTTATTGTATAATTGAAAAATGGTTAATTTGGAAAATGGAACAATATATAAAACTCCCCCACATTTAAACTCCTCATAGCCCTGAAATTAGGGAGCTAAATATACTAGTTTAGAACACAAGAACTAAAGCCAAACATTCTATCATTTTCATTTCTGAATAATAACTGCATTACCTTTAGGAGGGGAGGTAACACCTATTATACACTATCCAATTCATGTGTACCCTTAATAGACAAATTGTGACTTTATGAGTGCCTCCAGCTACTTGACGGCTCAACTCAATCTGTCACCATGCCAGACTTTCTGTTGCTCACACTGGATTGAGCAATTGTGAGCACCCCTGCTTATTATGGAGTGTAAGAAATTATAGCAATGTAAACAGGCTGTCTGAGGCAGACTCTCCAAATTATATTGTAATATGGAGAGTACCTAGTTACTCAGGACATTCTAAAAGTCTTTTAGACACTTATATATGATTGCATTTAAAAGAAGAAACCAACAAAGGAAGTCTTATTCCTAAAAACTAGGGTGGAGATTTGACATTGCTCACTCTATGAGGCCAACATCTTGGAAGTGAGGAAGTAACTATGGAAGTGATGTGTCCCTTTTTGTGCCCCCTTCATCCCTTTGCACCTCACTTTCTCAACTGGTTGCATCAGAGAACCCAGGATGGACTTTCCTTCCTCCCTCCGGCCCCTACTCAGGACTATATTCACAGTTACTAGCTTACAGTGCTTAAAATTTTTCTAAATGGATATTAGGTAATATAAAGTACTATTACTAATATGGAAGGTTTTATAATATCATAGTAACTGTGTAATAAATTCTCCATAATTTTGAGATACATATTAATGTGCAGAGATAATATTAAATTCCAAAAAGTCTATATTCACTTCAAAATACTGAGAGTGGAAAAAAAGGAAAAAGGAAGAAACAAAAAGAATCAAATGTGGTAAAAACTAGAAAGAAATTGATTTGAGAAGATGGATGTGTGGGAATTAATATATTCTCTATTTTTCAGTGTATTTGAACATTTATATACAAATTAATAAGAAGTACATTTCTCTTGAGGCAGGCTAGAAGCAGGGAAAGTTCAGGACTCATTTGTTTATGTAGGTTGACAACATATACAGGCTCATGGATGGCCCAGACCACCCTCACCTGTCTGGGAAGAGTGCATGTCTCTCCCCACTCATTCATTATTGGATGGAAATCACCTGGTTCCTCCCTTTCCATAGATTAGTGTAAATTTTAAAAGTACCCGAGAAAGAAAAGCATGCATTCTTGACCTCCAGACTCCACCTGCACCCACCATGCTCCCTGTTGTATTTTCCTTCCCTAACTTTTCACAAACCCCATTTACACCTATGTGTCCTGCAATGGATTCTTTCCATGGGATACAAAGAATGTGGAAGTCTTCTGATCAGACTGAACCAGCGCCATTAACACTCTGACCTATCACAATTTTGTAATTTATTTTAATTGACTGTAGATAATTTAAAATTCATCTGAAAAACTTTCAGAAAACATAATAATTTCTATTAGTTGGGTAATATAATTCAGTGTAAAAAGCCACAAAAAGGAGCATAAAGAAATATATCTGTGTTGTGTGTGTGTGTGTGTGTGTGTGTGTGTGTATTATGTTTATACCTACTTTCTCTGTATTGGTATCTATGTGGTATATTCTTAATGACAAAAATAATATATATTTTTTACCAAATTTGTGCCAATTTTATGTTGAAGTCTCAAGTGGAAACTCACACACAGAGAGACAAGCAAATATTTGTACTTTGTAAAAGTGCTAGAATGGTCAAAACCTGGGAACACAGGGTTGAGATTTTTTTTTTAATAAAATAAAAATTACTGCATACAGGATTTGTCTAGAGGACTCACAGACCATGGTTTCCTAATTGTGTTATTTGGCACTTCCCCTTGTTGCAAATACTGCTGGGACAATATTCTGAGAATAAAATTCCCCATGCTGCCCTCATTGGTAATGTTTCTCCTGGTTTGATCAACACGTCATCGTAGAAGATTGGTTTGCTTTCATCTTAGAATTAAACATTGCAGAAATAGATTTTGATCATGATACCTTTATCTCTGAGAATCACCTCATTCAAGCCCTGTGAACTAGTCTTTCTTGTGTTTTGGGGCTTAGTCTTAGAATAAAAGCTAGGAGAAGATAGAGAGGTAGAAAGACAGTAGTAGGAATTTCAGTCCTCCATTCATTCAGAATGTTTGATTTTCTGGTCTTTTGCTGATCTTAGCATTCAAACAATAGTTCCTGTCCTTAGGCAATCAATTAGTAATCACATTATTTTTTTTCCTGCATTGAATACTCAACTGATTGCCACACCTCACTTTTGGGTGTTGAAGAATGGACGATTAGATTGACAACCCCTTGGGTTTTTAATTCAATGATTCTAATGGCTTTTTAAAATTTTTATAGATGAGAGGATAAATTCCCTTTAATACCCAGCCTAAAAAGTTGATAGTTGTCACTCAGTCCAGTAACAAATATGATGACATTGTTACTGAAACTTACAAATTAAATCTGTTATCAGCAAAGTCAACTAATAAAATCAGTCTGTAATTATTATAGCTTCATCTTGGTCACTGTGCTGTGTAAGTGGAAAACTGGAATATTTAGAAAGATATTCTTGTGACTTAGGCATGGTAATCTTTTTCTTCTGTAAAAATAAACTCTGTGTATGTAACATTCATGAAAAGATCATTCTTGAACAAGAAGTGTTCTAAAAGAATATCAACAAAGACACCAACTGTGATCTCAACATTCTGTATACAACTCAAAATCACACATGGATTTCAAAATAATGAAATAGTACAGATTTTAATAACAGACAGATATAAGAGCTCAAATTATTGGCCTATATGTAACTATAAACGTTTTACTTTTGCTTGTTAAACTAAATTCTCCTAAGGGTTAATCCTACCTTTAGGAGTTGTTCCAAGTGTTGCATTGATAGTAGGAGTTGGTGCTGCCTTTGTGTCTGGTGTTACAGAGGCTTTTGCTTTTGTTGTAGAATTCACTGGTGATGGAACATCTGCAAAAAAATAAATTATGTTAAAGTAGCAACAGACTTGTATATTTTAACAACACACAGTAAACTACATATACTATTGACATAGGAAGTAGGATAGAGATTTGTAACTAATTCCTAGTGGTAATGAATTGTCCTTAGCATAACATTTGTTACTTGATGCTTATGCTTTTCATCAATGGTTTGAGTTTTCAAAGGCAGCAGGCAGGAGCAGTCTGTGGCATGGGAACTAAATAATATCTGAGAAAACAAATGTGAAATAATTGTGTAAATATATACATAAACATAATTGCATGTATATATAATCATATATACACTATATACACACAAATATATATAATAAAATATAATATATTATATTATATATAATATAATATTATATATATATATATATATATATAAATCCCTGAGTAACCAGGATTACAGGTATGCCTGGAAAATTTTTAATTTTTTTGGCAGTTTGAACTCAGGGCATTATGCTTGCTAGGCAAGCACTCTACTACTTGAGCCACACCCCCTAGCTCTTTTATGCTTTTGTTGTTTGCCCTCGGCCAGCCTCAAAATATGATCCTCCTACTCATGCCTCCTGTGCAGCTGGGAGCACAGGCATGCACCACCATGTCTGGCTTATTGATTGCGGTGGGGGGTTTTACTAACTTTTTACCTGGGCTGGCCTAGAACTGGGACCCTCCCTATCTCTGCCTCCTGAGTAGCTGGGATTACAATGTAAGCCACCATGCCTGACCCAAAATTTAATATTTGTAAGCCAATGAGATGAAATAATTTAACCTCACCAGATGAAATAATTACACAGACACTCCCTGGTCAGTGGATGTTTTACTATTTTCATAACACATTAAAGTTATGAAGTGATAAAATGTCAATATTGTCATATATCATCTTGCTCTATACACTCCTCTTTCTATATATATACTCATAATTCTTTTATATTTTATGCTTTATGTAAAGTATAATTTATACATGAGCTATGAAATGCATAATTTATGTTATATATTTATTTTATATGTACTTTATCATGTATAATTCTACATCTTATACATATATTTGTTATATGTAATTTGTACTTTATATATAAATAGTATCTACAATATCTAAAATAGAGTTAATATAAGATGTACATTATGTAGTTTATTTTTAATCTTTACATATAAAGGTTTTATGACATATTTATAGACATGTATGAGAAGGAGAGAGAGAGAGAGAGAGAGATGGGCCAAAGAAAGACACTAAACTTCTAAGAAATTCAACACCTACAAAATTTTGGGTGATGGAGCCACCACAAAGCTGCATTTTCAGGCTATTCCTCTAAGTTGTTTGAGCAACCAAAGGCATGAAAATGAAGGTAATAAATTGTGAATTGTATTGCATATTTCTTTTTAATAATAATTCTTAAAACTTTTATTTGAGTATATGAGGGAATTTGTCTTCTGTAAGATCCAGCATTGGAAAAATCACCCTTCATTATCATATTTTCAAAGTGAAATATGTAAGGCTTGTGTCTTCCTATTCCATGAAAAGATTTGTTCACACAAAATTATTGGAATTTACTATTATTTTTATAATTCTAATCCTGTATTTTATTGCTCTCATTTTGGGACACTCACTGTTATGTTACAGATCAAATTGTAGCAAGTGTCTACAAAGGATTGAGAAAAAACATTAAAATCTGTGCAATGCACTGTTTCTACATCACTCCTTGGTCTGTACAGAATGTATATAGTAGGATGTTATTAAGAGGATAGACTTTGAATAATAAAGACTTGAATAATCGTGCTCAAATCCCAAACTGGGTATGCCATAATGGTAAATGTATGTCATTATTATGAACTCTCAAATTTAAATTATATTTTAAATTTTCCTCTTTGAATTGGAGAAAAACCAATATCTGGCATATCAGTGCAAAGCATTAGCTTAGGTGTCATGAAATTGAGTGTATTTGCTGTTTCATTTTATAGCCATGCAGTGCTCTGGAGTGTTAGCTCTTAGCACTGACTTTGCTGACAGACACAGTAAACAGAAATTGCTGATGTGTTTAGCACATAGAGGTGTGCTCAGAACATACAGAAAACCACCACATTTTCACAGGCTTTATGGAAATCAAGTCAAAAGCTCTTTTCATCTTTGAAACCACGCTTCATACCCTTGATGTGGCCCTCCCCAGCTCCAATATTCATCAGGCGGCAAAAACATGGTCTATGTGGGGCTATCTGTTATCTATGAGCCATTTTGTTCTAGATATCTTTCTTTTGGTCTTAGATTCTATGATTTAACACAAATTTCTAAGTTTATAAATTGAAATTGATGAAATTATTTGAAGAAGTACACTATTTAAATCAGGCCAGTCAGTAGTACACATTGTAATTCCAGCTACATGGTTATGGAGATGGGAAGATCACAATTTGAGGATAGCCAAGGCAAAGATATAGTGAGACTCCATCTGAAAAAACAACTTTGATGTGGTGGTTCAACCTACAATTCCAGCTAGGTGGGAATTGTGGCCAGGCAAACTCCTAAGACCCTATTTGAAAAATAAGCAAAAAAGGGCTGTAGTCCTGGCTCAAGTTTAGAGCACTTGCTTAGTGAGCTCAAAGTGCTGAGTTCAAACTCCATTACTGCCCCAAAATAAAAAGCATACACCATTTAGACTGGAAATTTTACTGTAAATAGCTTGAATTAGCCCCATCTGTTTATTTCATAAATAGTAACAATCTTAATTTCTAAGCATAAAAATGTATCCAAAAGTTTTCCTTCCCTCCTCCTACCTTCTCTCTTCCCCTCTTCTTTCCTTCCTCCCCTCTACCTTTCTTTAATTTTCTGTCTTCTGCAATACTTATTTGGCCACTACTTATACGAAAATCATGGTAAGATACAGAAAAAGGTGCTATGGTGTACCACATAGTTTCATCCTCAAGTAACTTTCAATCTGGTAGGGAACATAGGTCTGTGTACAGTAAATAATGCAGCATATACCGTGTAGGTTGAATGGACAAATGTTTTTCAGACTGTGACTGGTGATACAATTATGGATAATTAAATCATTTCAGGAGATTATAATAAGAACTTTTGCCAAATGAAAAAGTGAAGAGATTGGAACTTTAAGAAAAGCCAAATTTCCAAAAAGGGGCCTAAATAGCTAACTGGGCCTCAACTCAAAATGGAGCCATTTGCTGACTGAGGAGGGAGGTGTGTGACACACATATATTCCTGGAATTACCACACACTCAGCTTTGTGGCCTTTTCCCAGGTGGGTCCTGTTTCATCTGCCAAGACAAACAGTGCCCTTTCCCAAATATCATTTTGCTACCTGAATCTGACCAATGAGCAGTGATCCACAATGGACCAATCAGGACTGAGCATTTCCCACACACTCACATCCTCATTCACAAAGGTCAGCGAGAGGAGGAGCCAGAGCCTTCCTTTGTTCCTCCGAAGCACACTTTCATTTGGGATCAAAGGATGTGTATCTGTGGTTTGCAAACCATTTTCTATTATTTGAAATAAAGGCTTTTTTTCTTAAATTTTTTCCAAGTAAATTTTTGTTCACAGAGACAGTATTAGAGCATTATTATAAATAATGAGGGTATTATTTCATGAAGTTTTTGTGTAGGGATGTATATGTGTGTGTAAATCAATGTGAAATTTACTATTAAATTTGGAAGCTGCTGGACAAACAGTAAGGCAGGCAAAGGTTTATAAGATGACTACTCAGATGGCATGGACAATGAATATTTCATGACAGACTTAAGGTAGAAGATAGACCTTAAAGACCAAGTAGTATGTCTACCCATGGAGAGGGAAGGGCAGGGGCGGAGCTCTGGAACGAGGAAGTGAAAATACTTGAGAAGACCTTAAATAGTTCAGTTTGACTGGATTGCCTTGTACAGTGAATGGACACGGTGGACATTGAGAATATACTGGAGGCCAGGTTGCAGAGGACCATGAACACCAAGCTTAGGACTGAATTTTATCAAGCCAATGGAGAAACACAGAAAGTGACCACAGAAGCAGAAATGTCACTGTAGGGAAAATGATGTCCTATCATGGAACAAAGAATGGGAAAACACCAGTTGAACCAAACTGCAAGCCCTCATTTTATCTATTTGCCAGGTCCTCTGCCCTGCTGACATCATCATGTAGCAATGAGTTCATACCAGTGACTTGATGCAAACTGAAAGTGGGCAAATTTCTAACCACTGATGTGATGAGTTTGTGACATGCTGTCGGGCTTTTCCTTCTCATCTTCTAAAGCACACTTGGCCACTGATTTCTCCTGAATAAAACGTTAATCCATTAGCACTCATTATACCTCCATTATTTGTTCTTTGGATTCTCAACAGAAAACGTTCCCTCTTTTGACAAGATGTGAAAACAACCAAAAGTATTGGGTATGCCCAGTTCCGTGTTAGCATGAGATGTGGATTATCTAATCCTGACAAAGATACCAAGAGGCCAACCCTTTTATGACCACCATTTTATCAATGAGGGCACTGCCAGCCAAAAAGAATAAATATCTTGTCCACTTAGATGCCAGAAAATGATACAGTTGGAATTTTAATTGAGACCGACTTGACTTCAGAGAACAAGCCTATGACCACCACGTATCTAGTGATGAGAAGGTGACACTGTACAAAGCTATCCCCCAGCTCCACCTGTTCTCTACCTGTGATAGGATGTGACATATAAAGGGAGAAAGCCACTAGATACCCAAGTGCTTTTCCTTAGGGACTTGTGATGAGGAAATAGACAAAATACTTCACTATTTCTTTCTTAAAAATTACAATCTTTCATGCTGTCATATATACATATACACATATGTTTTTCCATATTAGATTTAAATCTTTAAAGGGAAGTTCTGAAAGACTAAATATATTTAGCCTTACAGAATAAAAATAGAGAGTTGTTCAGTTTGAAAAATTCTGCAACCAACACTTGCTCTTATGATTTGGTTGAAAAGAATTATTCCTTCTAACTACCATAGTGGA